GGCAGGTGCCTGTAGTTCCAGCTATTGACTTGGGAGGCTGAGGCTAGAGGTTTGCTTAACTCCAAGAGTTTGAGGTTGCTGTGAGCTATGATGCCACAGCACTCTACCAAAGGCAACAGTGAGATTCTGTCTCAAAGGAAAATAAAAAAAGAAAGAAAAAAAAATTCCATGCATATTTAACGAGTCCACTAATGGGTTATTAAACTCCTAAAGTCTTCCATTCATCACAGGCCTCTCTTCCTCTCCACATACGCCTACCATTGCCTTCTTCTCATAATTTTGCAATTACCTTGTTATTTACTGTTTATTTGTTTATTGCCTATTTTTCCCCTCTCCAAATGTAATTTCCATTAAGGCTGCAGCTAAAATTGTCCTGTTTACCTGAGTGATCAGCCCCCAATCACAGCCCCATTTATTTGCTCATTCAATGAATATGGCAATCTAGTCTCTGTCAGAAACTGTCCTATATGTACAAGGTCTTGAACCTCAGAGAGTGGATCTTCCTGGGGGGACTCAGGAGATAGAAAGCAGAGAAATAAATAAATAACATAATTTTCAGTAATTGTAAGAGTTACTGTAGGGGCGGGGTGTGTTAAAGGTAAGGGAGAAAATTGAGCAAAGCTGGGTGAGTTTACTATTGTTAAAAAAAAAAAAAAAAAAGAGCCCGTGCAGGTCTCTCTAGAGAGTGGGGGACCTGATATGAACAGACCTGGTGAGAGGAAAGACCAGGAGGAAGCAGGTGTCAGGTAGACTGAATAAATATACAGGTGGTTAAACTTGGTGGTGTGGGCATGTTAACAAAACCACCAAACAAAGGAGGGAATGGAGCAAGGTGATGTGGGGGGGGGGATGGGGTAAGATGATGTCAGGGGGGCCGGATGGGGTAAGATGATGTCAGGGGGCCACATAGTGATTATGGACCCTGGATTCAAGCTTTCCTGGTTCACATCCTACTAATTAACTGAGCAAACTTTGGCTACTGATTTAGCCTCTTGGTAAGACAGTAACCTCACGTGTAAAACAGAAGTGATGGTAGGAGCATGACATAAAATTATAGGGAGGTGATGTCAGGGGGGCCGGATGGGGTAAGCTGATGTCAGGGGGGCCGGATTGGGGTAAGATGATGTCAGG